TAATAAAATATGTTGGAAATATAAGCGTATGTATTTAAAAGAAAATAGAATTGGAATTTTGCAATCAATGGAAACATATGTTAAAATCCTCTTACGAAATATTAAAGGATCTTCAATAGAAAAAAAAAGACTACGAGCAGAACGAATAATTAAATGGTGTATACACGCTAGAGAAAAATACATAATAATCTTAAGAAAAACATTGGCATTATTAAGAGAGAAAGCAGAAGTATGTTTAAGTCGCGCTAATAAATGTAATGATGATATTACTTCCAATAATTATAATCAAGCTTTATGTGGTTCAAGTAAACATACTGCTTCCACAGAATCATATTTTTTTGAAAGTAATTACAAGTATATTGAATTTAAGGAAGCATTAATAATAAATAAAAATGGACAAGTAACTAATGTTTTACCAATAACGACAAAATGTACACGTAATAAAACAACAATATTTTGGAAATGTGGATCTCTATGTAGAATAAATGATGCTATTATAATTGAACGATTCAAACAATTTTTAACAACAATATCAAAGTGTTCAAAAGTGAGAAATATTTCTACATTTATTAAATCAATCGAAACATGTTCATATTCATATAGACAATCGAATAAACTTGGTCATTCGCAAGTATGTTACATTGATCCAAAATTATGTAAATCTAAATTGTTGGCTTTGCATTTCTTGTCACCACATTATCCAAAAGTGAGATATATACAAAGACTTGCTTCTCGCTTGACATATTATTACGACAAACTATTAAAATTGGACGAAGCTTTACATTCTGGTGATGTGCAAATTTTGGACAAAATTGTTGATAATATATGTAGGAAAAGTATGTTTACCGATGCTAATATCGAAACAGTTATAAACTTAAATGAAGATGAAATATTATTAAAGTATTCGAAAGCTTTTACCGTATTGACAAAACGGTCTACAGATACACCTCAATTTGTATGTTTATCTTGTGAAAAACTTTGCTTTAAACGAAATGTTTTTAATGTGGGAAAATTAAGAAAGTCTTTATCAGGAAAACAATGGAAGAAATTAATAAACTACTTGCATATTGATTTAAAAAGTACAGAGTTATATATTTGCCGATACTGTTTGACATACTTTCGTAAAAGCACTTTACCACCAATATGTATTTTGAATAATTTATACGTTGACAAAACACCAGACGTAATAACTACATTAAATGAATATGAAAAAATTTTGATACAAAGAGCAAAAGCTTTTCAAGTTGTACAGAAAATGGGAACAGTATCAAAGAAAAATTTACCACAATCACATCTTCAAAGTAAAGTTAAAGGCAGAACGTTTCACTTACCATTGCCAGTAAATAAAACGATAAAAAAAATTTGTAACCCAACAGACGTATTAAATTATGATCACGAATTATACATTGTAGTTCGTGGTGTTCCAACTAAATCTAAAATAATGTGGGAAAATTTAGTAAATGTTAAAAAAATTTATGAAGTATTAACATGGTTCAAAAAACACAATCCGTTATATACAGCAATTGAATTACCAAAATCACATGATGATCTATTAACTGACAAACTAAACGACGTCGAATATCAATTGAATGATAATGTGGAACAAATTCAGCAAGCATTATTGACACAGATTACGGATCCGGACACGTATTACGAACAGTTTACTATTTATCCAATGTATGATAAAAGAACAAATGAGAGTGCAACAGCGTTGTATCAAATGTTAAGAGTTGAAAATATTCCAATAGATGGTCGAGATAAAACTTTGGATCTTTTGTGCTTTCCCGATTTATATCCATTTGGAAAAAATGGTCAATATGAAGAAAGACCAATACGTCTGTCAGATAGCGAGTTTATCAAATCACGATTAATGTCCAAACATTCTCAATTTCGTTTAAATATACAGTATATATTTTATTTATTGAATAATGCAAATATTCGACAATTAAATAGTGGTATTTATCATAAAATGAATATAGTGAATTTGAGAGAACGATTTAGCAAAAAGCTTCTTGAATGCAATGTCAGAAAATAAATTAGAAGGAAACATAAGTACAATATTTTCAAGACTTTGCAACAGTGAACAATATTGGCGCAAACCTAGATGTGATTTAAGTTGTATGATCTATTATTATGGACCTGCTACCTGGTTTTTAACTCTAAGTCCAAGCGAATGGCTGTGGTCACATATAATTGAATATCTTCGAGAAATAAATCCTAATATGTCCACAAAATCTGCGAATGAACTTATTGCATTTGATCTCGTGTCCGTATCTAGATATATGGAAAATCAATTTCACGCTATGCTCGATTTCATATGTTCGAGTGATCATCCGATTGGTGAAGTAACACATTACTTTTGGAGACGTGAGTATCAAGGTAGAGGTACTCAACATTTTCATTTATTAGTATGGATAAAAGACGCTCCTTTAATCGGCGAATCTTCTAATGAAGAAATTGTTAAGTTTCTATTAAAATATATATCATGTAAATTACCCGATAAAGATATTTCACCTTTATTATATCGAAGAGTCAATACTCATCAACGTCACGTTCATAATAATTACTGTTTACGATGTAAGAAAAGTAAAAAGCGTGTTACTCGTGTTTGTCGATTTGGATTTCCACGTCTAGTCACCAAAAATCTAATTTTAAAAGATCTAGTATCGTCGATAGCAGGAAGAAGAACTTTAAAAGCAAAAAGCAGATTATACGATCTTCCACGAGAAGAAAAAGAAAAGAATATTAATGATTACAATCCTGTAATTTTAACTGCATGGGAAGGTAACATGGATATGCAATTTATTGGTGAAAAATCAACTTTGTTAAATTGGTACTGTACAAAATATACTACAAAATCTGAGTCGAGTTATGCAAATAATACATTCGAAGCAGTTAACTCTACGAAATCATTACGTAGTCGTCTTTGGAACTTTGCAATGCGTAATTTAAATAACAGAGAATGTGGTGCTCTAGAAGCATGCGACACACTTCTCGGTATATCACTATATGGAATAGATCCATGTACAACAATTAGATGGCTAGATGTTAATCAAATTAGAAGCCGAAAAATAAAAACACTTAAAGAAATTAAATTGTTGGACGCAGATTCAACAGACATTTTTTGTAAATCAATGATTGATTATTACTATCCAACTAGACCACAAGAACTCGAATCGTTGAGCCTTTATAATTTTGCGAAATGGTATGATATTACAAAGAAAATACCTGCCAATAATTTTTATACTTTGAAAGGTGAAGGTAAATATCCACATTATATTAAGAAAAGACAGCGTGGATATCTGGTGAATCATTATAAATACAATGTTGAAATGCAACCAGAAAAATATTACTATTCGTTATTATTATTATTCAAACCATGGAGAGATTTATCAGAAATAAAATCAGAATATTCTACTTATGCAGAAGCATTTTTAAGTATATATTCGCAACTACCAGAAGCAATATCTTATCATGAAAAAATTGTTAATGATCAAAATTACTTGAAAAATATTAAAGAAAATATTGAGAATTATTTAAATAAAATAGTAAAATCACAAGAGGAAAATAAGCAATCTAATAATAAAACAGAATTTCTTGCTTTGGAAGCAGGAAATGCTATGCAAGAATTTAGAGATGTTTTAGCTAAACCAGACGAAACAAATATCGATGATTTAATTTCTGGGCTAAATGATGATCAAAGGAAAGTATTCGATACCATTACAAATACCATTAAATCTGATTCGAAATGCTTGAGACATTATGTAAGTGGCGAAGGTGGAACAGGCAAAAGTTATCTCATAAATACTATTAAATGTTGGGTGAAACAAAATTTAAATAAGGATGTTGCGGTAGCTGCACCCACGGGTATTGCTGCCTTTAATATTGATAGACTAATATTACAAATGCTGAACTTAATAAGTGCGAACAAGATTTAATGATCTTTGTTGCTTTGTTTGAGGTCCTATATGGAAAAGAATCAATGCGGTTTAATGTGCATTTGTTGCTCCATGCTGTTCAATCTGTTCGGAAGTGTGGACCTTTATGGGCTACATCAACCTTTCCTTTTGAATGTAATATTTATTTGTTAAAGCAGCTAGTTAATGGACCAAAGGGCGTTGAGCAGCAAATAGCTAAAAAGTCATTACAGATTTTGTCATATAAAGTAGGAATGTCAAGTAGTTCATCGCCGAATCATGTAAAAGCGTTTTGTGAGCAATTGTTCATGAAAAATCAGTCGACTGTAAATGTTGAAGTAAATGATGGAGTAGTATTTTATGATTCACAACATGTATATATCTCAGATAGCGCTCCAGTTACAACAAAACGGATATATAACAAATGTATATATAATAATCAGGTGTACCATAGTAAAAATTATAAACGATCAAAAAAATGGAACGACACTATTGTACAGTTAAAATGCGGAAAAATTGTTAGAATCGATGATATAATTAATGTACCTGAAACAGGATGCCACTTCTTAGTTACCACATTCGTTGCCGAAAAAGTAATTTTACGTGCAAATTAATGCACTGTCGATGAAACAACGTCTCCAGATGAGACATTAGCAAGAATTGGTGACATTGATATGCCACATATGTGGAAATTTGTAGAAGAGACGGGCCAACGATTTGTAATTTCAATTCATGATGTTTGTTCGAAAATGGTTGTCATGGACGTAGGAACTGAGCAATTTATTTGCGCTATGCCAAATATATTCGAGATTGACTAAATAAAAGTTCGCAATTTCCTATATTTTGTGTTTCTTTTTATATATATAATATAAATCGATAGTTTAGCACAAGGATTATTATAATAAATTATGTGTATAATGTATACTAAATAATAATGAACTATTATATTATGTACACTTTTATTCCATATATAATGGATTATTATTATAATTATATGATTTTAATTACATGATGTCTTATAAAATGTTAATAAAATACACTATCTAGTAATAACATAACGTTATATATTTTGTAATTTTTATGTCACTGTTCTATATCACCTTGAAATATATATAAATCGAAAATTCTATATGTGTATTTGAATATTAATTTTTCAAATCAAAAGTTGGCTTTTTTGTCGAATTTACACGAATTGACAGTATTTGACGTCCAACTATTATTTCAGTGAATTTAAATGTTCTCGTTTCAATATCATACGATAAATTCAAACGAATTGGTCACGTTCATTGCGTTGTGCATTAAGTGTGATACCAAAAGCAAATGGCCAATTCACAATTATAGATTCAAACAAATTGATCGTACGTTTATTGCGTTGTACATTGAATGTGATACCAAAAGCAAATGGCTAATTTACAATTATGGATTCAAACAGATTGATAGCAAGTTTCTTTCGATGTTCATTGAATAATATACAAAAAGTAAATGACCAATCCGTACTTATGGATTCAAACGGATTGGTCGCACGTTTAATTTCTATGCACATTGGGTGAAATACCGAAAGCAAAAAGCCAATCCGTAATTACTGATTCAAACGAATTACGGATAGAAAATGGATTCAACAAATCCAAAAATTTGATTCAATATCGGTTCAATGAATTATTATCAATATTTTTAAATTTTTTTTCGTTTGCTGGGAGGTACCATCAATGGCGCGTTAGGTTTTTTTTAAATGGACCTTCGCCTGGAGCCATATTATACCACATTATATTACATAATATTGTACTATATTTCTTATTTATAAATGTAATGTCTTTCACAAAATATTTTTTACACACTTGTCTTTGACAAGTGTGATGTCTTTTAAAGATGATATTTTTACATACTGATTTTATACAAGTACGACATCTATTACAGACAAATTTTATTTCACATACATATATATAATTAAGTGAGCAAAACTATTATTACATTATAAAAATAATAATGTCCATTTATATAATTTATTTTATTTTGAAAAATATCATTCTACATCATTAGCTAATGAAATACTAGGATTATTATCGGTAACATATAACGTTGAACTATGCTTTCTTTTTTAGGACAAATAGAATATAATTTGTACCCTTTATAACAAATGCTTTACATTTATTAATCTTCATGTCCAGAAGAAATTTTTTTCTTGCTTTTATCATTAATTTTAACACACAACTTACATTTACATATTCGCACAAAAGTTTATTTCAATTTTTTTTGTTTTTATATCTGATAACATAGAAAACATTTTTTCTGAATTGCAATTGGAAAGTTATCTAAGAGCATTCAAAAGAAACTTTATATTGAGATACTTGTGTTTTGAAATTTATTTTCACATCTCATCAAAATTTATTTATTTTTTATTTTTGATAAATGTTCTTTTTCTGCTACTTGTAAAATCTAGATATAATATTATATAATTCTTTATATAATTTTTAAAGCATTGTTATTAATACCACCGAGGATTTAAATGAAAAAGAAAATATCATTAAATAATGTTTCTTTATCAATACTATATGTAGAATACTATATTTTGTTGGAAAATTTTTAATCTATTTTTAATAGATAATTTTTTACTAATTTCCTCGGTAGCAGTTATACAAAATTGTAGATAATTCTCTTGAACATTTCTAAATATGCCTGCGTGTTCTTCTTTCATTAATTTCTCGCGAGACATTTTTTCACAAATATTAGATTAATATCACTTACTAATTGCTGTAATTCTCTACTATCTATTTTAGAAAACTAAAATTAATATCACATCCTTTTTTTAAAAGCTGATTTTCAAATAATTTGGAAAATTATTATTAAAAAGTTGTAATGACTTTGGCTGCAACAAATAAATGTTTGTTTCTAGAACTTGGAAAAATTAAAAAATTTTAACTATGTTTTAAAAATAGAAAATATGCCACACATTAGAATTTTATATTAGAAATATATCAGAAATAATAAATATTCTCTTGATTTTTTTATTTTTGATTCATAATTTTTGGTCAAGAAAAAGTTTTATACTATCCCAAAAATTTAAAAGTCATATATGAATGATAAGATAGCCACTGTTTATTGAATTATTATTTATATATTTATATTTATCCATTGATTCTTTTTTTACTCTTAGATACAATATTAAATAATACAATGTAGTATATGGCGCCAGACAACAATTCACTTTTAAAAACTTAATATGCCAATGGTGGTACTTCATGGATGATGTGGATAATCATTGATCATTAATCATTTTATTGTTTTAAGATACAAACGTATATATATTGTCAGTATACATGCGTGCAATTAAAAAATTATATAAATACACACACACACTATTTTTTTTTATATATACATGTGGATTTTATTTAATGATTTTTGTATATTTTTTAAATTCAAAATAAAATTCTTTGTGTAATATGTTACACATTTTTTTTAAATTTATTTTTTTTCTTAAAATGTCAAATTATTCATATCAATGTATGATTTTAATCAATAATGATTTCATTAATAAGTATATCGTGAAGCTTAATAATTTATTTAAATGTTTATATTTTTGTATCGAGCACTAGTGTATATTTATAATTATAAGGAATATTTATTAATTATTATAATTTAGAAATTTAATAAACATTCTATTAATTCCTCTATTTTTTATACATATGTATTAATATCACTGATATGTGAGAATATTATATAACATATTAATAGATAAAATTTACTCACATTGTTCTAAAAACAATATATATAAATTCTTACCACCTCGTGGCCATTGTTTACATGAAATGGATTCATCATTAACATAAAACCATTTTGATTTATTACTTTTATAGTCTCTTAACATGTTTGTGTAATGACCTTCATGTAAATTATTTCCATGATGAAATATTGCACTAACGACTTTATAAAAGTTTGTTCCAATAGATATTTTGGCAGTTGAAAGACCTTTAATGTTACATTTATTTATAATTCTAGACGTGTCTTTATCATTTGATGAAAATATCATCAATTGCATTACAATTATTTTTTTAAAAGAACATATATCATATTTAATAAGCAATTGATTGTTTTCTTTGCAATTTTCACACATTCCTTCGACAGATATCCAATGAGAAAAGTTGTGTTTCATTAAATATTGCATATCTATGCTCTGTTTTAGATTTGTGGGAATAGTAAGTGTAGCTATTATATTTTTTTGCTTATTAACGTTTGTGTAATTACATTTTTTGCAACGGATTGTTGTAGAAAAGTCGTGTTCAATGATATCTTTAAGAATTGTAATCTTTGCACAGAGCGCTATTAAAAATTCTGCCGCATCTCGTTGAACATTCAGTAAAAATGAATTACCAAGAAATTGTCTTATACTCATACTGTTTAATACATTCTTGTCACCAATATAATCGTTAATTAATTGCTTCATAACATCTGTTTCATCGTGTTGTAATAATAATTTTCTAATAACAGTATTATGTACAATACATTGTAAAACGGTATTTGCATAGCAAGAAACATTATCTGTATTGATAAAGCCTTTAATGGACGTTAATGAAATATTTTCAAGATTTGTTGATTCTTCATAAATTTCCTGTCCAGCAAGAAATCGGACAGACACTGTCCATTGTCGATCTTTAATCTTATTGCATTGATTTTTTTGCACAATAATGCTTTCTATATCTTGACGATATAAGTTTCTTAAACGATTATATTCAACAATGGTTAATTCATTAGCTTTTACAGATCCTGGATCAAAATTTATCAAATGTAATCCTTCTATAGATGTGACTCGTGACAATGCCACATATGTTTGACCGCAACTGAAAATAAGATTTCCTGCATCAATAACAATCGAATTCAAACTTAAGCCTTGACTCTTATGAATTGTTATTCCATAACTAAGTGACAATGGAAATTGTTTTCGAATAATGTATGCTTTGTCCATTACTTCAAATTTGACACTTACACGTTCTATATTGAATTCTTTTCCATTCGATAAAGCAATTGTTAATGTATTTACATCCTTATTATCAATATTACGTAAACATTTCGTAATTGTACCAATAGTTCCATTAACAAGTCCTAATGTGACGTCGATATTTCTACGTAGCATAATTTTTGCCCCTATTTTCACAATTATCTCATTTGACAGTCCACCAGTTTTCGTACTATCCTCATCATCTGCACCAATAATTTTTAATATTTTTTTCTTTAAATATTGTGGACAATCAATACAATGCTAATAATGAAATATTTTCAGAAGGTATGCGTTCCAACATTGCGGTATTAAGAACATTACATAAATTACATGTTGGTAACAAGCACACTGGATCGCACGGCAATTTTGCAATATAATTACATAATTCTTCTAATCTATCATTACATGATGTAGATTTAAAGTTTATTTTTCTCGAATTCAATGTTTCAATATCAGTATCTGTTACAATTCCAAGTCGAATTCTAGAAAGTAAATCTCTGTAACTGATATCACTTTTTTGACGCATTTTAATCCTAAGTTCATCATAAGTAAACAAATCATTCCATAAATTTGTAGCTCCTAATGTTTCCAAATATTTTTCTGTCTTAGCTTTACTCATATTAATAAAAACAGACTCTTCGCGTACTGGTGGCAATTGTAATAAATCACCTAATAATAATATGTGCTTTTTCCCGAACCATCCATCATCGTCATCAAACGTGTTGAATATTTCTGTTAATCTAAGATGTATATATATAAAAGTGATATTTGATACCATTGATATTTCATCGATTATAAAAAGAATAGTATTCTTTAATTCATCTCTTAATGTTTTTAAAACAACGTCGGATAATTGTCTGTATTTAGGAATATAGCCATGCTCCACTGGTAATTGAAAAAGTCTATGAATAGTAAGTCTATCAATATTAAAGGCAGCAATACCCGTGGGTGCAGCTACCGCAACATCCTTATTTAAATTTTGTTTCACCCAACATTTAATAGTATTTATGAGATAACTTTTGCCTGTTCCACCTTCGCCACTTACATAATGTCTCAAGCATTTCGAATCAGATTTAATGGTATTTGTAATGGTATCGAATACTTTCCTTTGATCATCATTTAGCCCAGAAATTAAATCATCGATATTTGTTTCGTCTGGTTTAGCTAAAACATCTCTAAATTCTTGCATAGCATTTCCTGCTTCCAAAGCAAGAAATTCTGTTTTATTATTAGATTGCTTATTTTCCTCTTGTGATTTTACTATTTTATTTAAATAATTCTCAATATTTTCTTTAATATTTTTCAAGTAATTTTGATCATTAACAATTTTTTCATGATAAGATATTGCTTCTGGTAGTTGCGAATATATACTTAAAAATGCTTCTGCATAAGTAGAATATTCTGATTTTATTTCTGATAAATCTCTCCATGGTTTGAATAATAATAATAACGAATAGTAATATTTTTCTGGTTGCATTTCAACATTGTATTTATAATGATTCACCAGATATCCACGCTGTCTTTTCTTAATATAATGTGGATATTTACCTTCACCTTTCAAAGTATAAAAATTATTGGCAGGTATTTTCTTTGTAATATCATACCATTTCGCAAAATTATAAAGGCTCAACGATTCGAGTTCTTGTGGTCTAGTTGGATAGTAATAATCAATCATTGATTTACAAAAAATGTCTGTTGAATCTGCGTCCAACAATTTAATTTCTTTAAGTGTTTTTATTTTTCGGCTTCTAATTTGATTAACATCTAGCCATCTAATTGTTGTACATGGATCTATTCCATATAGTGATATACCGAGAAGTGTGTCGCATGCTTCTAGAGCACCACATTCTCTGTTATTTAAATTACGCATTGCAAAGTTCCAAAGACGACTACGTAATGATTTCGTAGAGTTAACTGCTTCGAATGTATTATTTGCATAACTCGACTCAGATTTTGTAGTATATTTTGTACAGTACCAATTTAACAAAGTTGATTTTTCACCAATAAATTGCATATCCATGTTACCTTCCCATGCAGTTAAAATTACAGGATTGTAATCATTAATATTCTTTTCTTTTTCTTCTCGTGGAAGATCGTATAATCTGCTTTTTGCTTTTAAAGTTCTTCTTCCTGCTATCGACGATACTAGATCTTTTAAAATTAGATTTTTGGTGACTAGACGTGGAAATCCAAATCGACAAACACGAGTAACACGCTTTTTACTTTTCTTACATCGTAAACAGTAATTATTATGAACGTGACGTTGATGAGTATTGACTCTTCGATATAATAAAGGTGAAATATCTTTATCGGGTAATTTACATGATATATATTTTAATAGAAACTTAACAATTTCTTCATTAGAAGATTCGCCGATTAAAGGAGCGTCTTTTATCCATACTAATAAATGAAAATGTTGAGTACCTCTACCTTGATACTCACGTCTCCAAAAGTAATGTGTTACTTCACCAATCGGATGATCACTCGAACATATGAAATCGAGCATAGCGTGAAATTGATTTTCCATATATCTAGATACGGACACGAGATCAAATGCAATAAGTTCATTCGCAGATTTTGTGGACATATTAGGATTTATTTCTCGAAGATATTCAATTATATGTGACCACAGCCATTCGCTTGGACTTAGAGTTAAAAACCAGGTAGCAGGTCCATAATAATAGATCATACAACTTAAATCACATCTAGGTTTGCGCCAATATTGTTCACTGTTGCAAAGTCTTGAAAATATTGTACTTATGTTTCCTTCTAATTTATTTTCTGACATTGCATTCAAGAAGCTTTTTGCTAAATCGTTCTCTCAAATTCACTATATTCATTTTATGATAAATACCACTATTTAATTGTCGAATATTTGCATTATTCAATAAATAAAATATATACTGTATATTTAAACGAAATTGAGAATGTTTGGACATTAATCGTGATTTGATAAACTCGCTATCTGACAGACGTATTGGTCTTTCTTCATATTGACCATTTTTTCCAAATGGATATAAATCGGGAAAGCACAAAAGATCCAAAGTTTTATCTCGACCATCTATTGGAATATTTTCAACTCTTAACATTTGATACAACGCTGTTGCACTCTCATTTGTTCTTTTATCATACATTGGATAAATAGTAAACTGTTCGTAATACGTGTCCGGATCCGTAATCTGTGTCAATAATGCTTGCTGAATTTGTTCCACATTATCATTCAATTGATATTCGACGTCGTTTAGTTTGTCAGTTAATAGATCATCATGTGATTTTGGTAATTCAATTGCTGTATATAACGGATTGTGTTTTTTGAACCATGTTAATACTTCATAAATTTTTTTAACATTTACTAAATTTTCCCACATTATTTTAGATTTAGTTGGAACACCACGAACTACAATGTATAATTCGTGATCATAATTTAATACGTCTGTTGGGTTACAAATTTTTTTTATCGTTTTATTTACTGGCAATGGTAAGTGAAACGTTCTGCCTTTAACTTTACTTTGAAGATGTGATTGTGGTAAATTTTTCTTTGATACTGTTCCCATTTTCTGTACAACTTGAAAAGCTTTTGCTCTTTGTATCAAAATTTTTTCATATTCATTTAATGTAGTTATTACGTCTGGTGTTTTGTCAACGTATAAATTATTCAAAATACATATTGGTGGTAAAGTGCTTTTACGAAAGTATGTCAAACAGTATCGGCAAATATATAACTCTGTACTTTTTAAATCAATATGCAAGTAGTTTATTAATTTCTTCCATTGTTTTCCTGATAAAGACTTTCTTAATTTTCCCACATTAAAAACATTTCGTTTAAAGCAAAGTTTTTCACAAGATAAACATACAAATTGAGGTGTATCTGTAGACCGTTTTGTCAATACGGTAAAAGCTTTCGAATACTTTAATAATATTTCATCTTCATTTAAGTTTATAACTGTTTCGATATTAGCATCGGTAAACATACTTTTCCTACATATATTATCAACAATTTTGTCCAAAATTTGCACATCACCAGAATGTAAAGCTTCGTCCAATTTTAATAGTTTGTCGTAATAATATGTCAAGCGAGAAGCAAGTCTTTGTATATATCTCACTTTTGGATAATGTGGTGACAAGAAATGCAAAGCCAACAATTTAGATTTACATAATTTTGGATCAATGTAACATACTTGCGAATGACCAAGTTTATTCGATTGTCTATATGAATATGAACATGTTTCGATTGATTTAATAAATGTAGAAATATTTCTCACTTTTGAACACTTTGATATTGTTGTTAAAAATTGTTTGAATCGTTCAATTATAATAGCATCATTTATTCTACATAGAGATCCACATTTCCAAAATATTGTTGTTTTATTACGTGTACATTTTGTCGTTATTGGTAAAACATTAGTTACTTGTCCATTTTTATTTATTATTAATGCTTCCTTAAATTCAATATACTTGTAATTACTTTCAAAAAAATATGATTCTGTGGAAGCAGTATGTTTACTTGAACCACATAAAGCTTGATTATAATTATTGGAAGTAATATCATCATTACATTTATTAGCGCGACTTAAACATACTTCTGCTTTCTCTCTTAATAATGCCAATGTTTTTCTTAAGATTATTATGTATTTTTCTCTAGCGTGTATACACCATTTAATTATTCGTTCTGCTCGTAGTCTTTTTTTTTCTATTGAAGATCCTTTAATATTTCGTAAGAGGATTTTAACATATGTTTCCATTGATTGCAAAATTCCAATTCTATTTTCTTTTAAATACATACGCTTATATTTCCAACATATTTTATTAGCTATACAATTTTTTTGCTTTTTTTTATATATTTCGTGTGGTTTTTATAATATTTTTTATTAGATAATTTCTTATTTGTAGGAAAACGTATATTATATTTTACCAATCTTTCACATTCATGTTTCTTATATAAAACATAATATTTACGTTTTTTTTTCACGTTTATCATTTCTATCATTTGCATATTTTAAACGCTTTATAGCACGATTTTCTAATAAATTATATGCATATGCTTTTCGTTTTGCTGCACGATTTTTAATTCTATTTTCTTCAAGTTTATCATACATTAATTGTTTTTTGATTCGAAGATCATATTGTTCTTGAGTTTCATATTTTCTTTGCACACGTTTTCGATACGCATCTACTCTTCTACGTTCCACTACGCTTAAATGTGGAACATTGTTCGGAATACCATTAGTACAATCTTGTGGAAAATGTTGAATTATGTTAGTTTCAAAAATTTTAAATAGGTGATTTATCATCAAAAAATGTTCATAGTTTATAATATCTGGTTTTAAACCAAATAATAATGATACAGCAAAAGCAATTGCAAACACACCACAATCATTTCCATTTGGTTGTTGTTGTACTTTAGGAAATTTAATATTATTTTTATTGAAATTAAAAAATGGATACAATTTTTTTAAATATATTTCATGATGAGCATGCAGTTTTCTATAATTTAATGAATCATATATATATATATATATATATATATAGTATCATAATAGCTGCATACCCAGTGACCATCATATTTCGATGTACTGCTATGCAAGATTTGTATATGATGTTGCATAGTTGAAATAGGCTCTATTGTTTCGGGATATTGAATCCTCCACGTATCACGAGGACAAAAAGAAGAGCCATTTTTTAATATAGTATTAAATGCATCGATATAAATATCTCCCAACCACATATTATTTTGCTTTATAATATTTATGTCGTAATTTGATAATATTATATTACATAATTTTTCATTTGTAGAACAATGTATATTACATTTTTTCAATCTCTTACATTTACGCTTTTTGTATAAAGCATCATGCTCATCATTTTTTTCATTTTTTGCACATTTTAAACGTTTTACAGTATGTACATTTTCTAATAAATTACATGTATATGCTTTTCGTTTTGTTGCACGCTTTTTTAATATATTATGTGAATATTTCATGCGTTTAACGCCACGATTAACAATGTTTACTTCACAAAATTTACGTTTAATATTTTTTTTAACACCAGTCTTAATTGCTGACAAATGTTCTCTTTTACTTTTCTTTCTCTCACTTGTAATGTCCTCGAGAGACAATGCTTTTTTTCTACACCACTCTTTTTCAATTATTCTATCTTTTACAAACAAAGTATTTTTTATACATATATCATTTT